CCCCCACCCCCACACACACTCACACCTGCTGCGACGTTCGCCGCCCTCCATGCTACCCATCACGCCGTATGGGTGCGGCAACAATCGAGCAACAGGTGCACCAGGTGGGAGCAGTGCAAGCACGGCACGTCTGCGCACTGCACCACCAGCTGGCAGCTGGCCGCACACAAACCCATTTCGCAGCAGCCTTGAATGACTTGCAACATGTGACAGCAATGTCAAGCTATGTGCGCGGCCGCGGCCAGCGACATTCGGCGAGAGATACAAAGCATCCAATTGGCGTGAGCACTGCGCGCCGAAAAGAGACGCTGTGGCCGGCATGCTGACGCTGCGGCCACCAGCGGCCGCCTGCGCGCCTGGCCCGCCCTGGACCCACGCGGCGTGTGGCGCATGCGCGCTGATGCATGCAGCGCGTGGACGCTGGGCGCGCCCGGCAGGGCGCCATAAATAGGAGGCTAGCATGCTTGCTCAGCAGCGGCCAGATTGTACCGCCGGCCGCGCGGCCTTTCACCTGCGCTGCCACAAGCCCCGAGCGCGATTCATGCAGCCCCAGCAACAGTCGTCCGCCAAACCACAACGTGAGCAACGCCACCGCTAACCCGTCTCCTACACTGGCGTTGCCCTGCGGCCACGTAAAACAGGGCCGTGGGGCTGCGCGAGAACATAAGGGGGTATCAGGGGGTGCACTAGGTAGGGGAGGGGGGGAGAGGGGTTGAAAATTGCGGACGGCCAGAGGGCGCATCCTGACAGGCGGAGGTGGTGGCGCCGCGCCCGCGTGGCAGTGCGTCGGCAAAAGGCAGACCGCCCTTGACGAAGGCACACGCAGTGCTGTTGTTTAAGCCCGCTCGCAGCCTAGCTGCACAGGTGTGGCCCGTGATGCGCGCCCTTGAACGCCGCCTGCAATGCGTGCAAAGACTCCGGTTGTGAACGGCGGGCGAACAGCTGGGGGCCTGGCATAAGGGGGGGACATCAATATGTTGGAGGCTGACGTCTATTCTTGCATGGAAGCAGGGGGCTGTCTGCCACCCGCGAAGGCGAGCCAGGTCGAGCGGCTGATGGTCAGCAAACAGAGGCGGCGCGCAACAACAAACGGGGGTCTGCTTAGACACAGGCAGCGCCACAGCACAGCGGCTGGTGCGCGCCGTGCGGTGGGGCGACGCGCGGCGGACGCGCTGACGGGGCAACGGGATGAGGGGAGTCCCGCGCCAACTGCGGGTCACAGCATGTTCGAGGCGGCGGGAAGCGGTTTGGTCGCCGGCAGCCAGCGGTGCCCTTGCGGCGCCCCTGTACGCCCGGCCCCTTCCCGTGCAACGTAAAAGGAGCACAGGCGCGCCGAATCAGCAGCCCGGGGATGCAGTGCTGGCGCACGCATCTCTGCATGCACCACATCGCACAGCAACAGGCCCCGCTGGGACAGGACCAGGCTGCGGGCGGGCCACGGACGCGGCCGGGGCGCGCGGCAGCAGCCGCGCCCTCATGATGAGAAGGCGGCTACTCGTGCTGCGTTGCTGCCAGGTGATGCGCTTCCACCTGCTGCGCCGCCGCCGCCACTGGGGCGTGCTGCTGCTCCTGGCGCGCCCCCGCGGCCGCCTCGCCGCCGGCCTGCTGGTGTGTCACCACGCCCAGGAGGTGGGTGACGTGGCCGTGGCCGTCAAACAGGGGCGACACGGCCAGGCGGGCGGGGACCGTGGACCCGTCCTTCCTGCGGAGGGCGGTGGATGAGGTGTGGCACATGCACGTCGAGGGGTGAGGGCGCACGAGGGGTGCCTTGGCTGGCTCTGCCGCCGCATGTGCACATTGGGGCGCCGATGCACTGCGGCTGCACGCACCAGCAGGTGCGCGCCGCATTGCCCCCCAAAGCGTTTGCAGCGTCAAGCAAGCCCACGTGCATGGGGCAGCAGCAGACGCACCGCACCCTGCACCACCCCCTCTCTCTTCCTTGCCCACCTGGCGTGGACGCACGCGACCGCAACGAGCTCATAGGTAGCCGCCGCGCCGCGTATGCTGTGCAGCGTCTCGGGGGCGGCCGCGCCCCCCTGCAGCAGCTCCGCCAGGGGGAGGCCCCGCACCTCCGCCGCGCGCCACCCCGAAAGCCGCTCGAACTCGCGGCTGACCGCCACCACACGGAACGGCGGCCGCGGCTCCGGGATGACGCGCGCCTGATGGG